AAATACAACCCGCTCTGTCAGGTGTAGCAAATTTAGTTATTATACACATCATCGTAAACTGGGGACAATATTTTATTCATATTTTTAGCTCATATGCTAACAAATTTGTATAAGCGATGCTTTTTATGAAAACTAAATATGCTTAAAACTATGCGAATGTTAAATGTTCTATGCGTCAAAAGATGAAAGGTTAGCAAGCCAAATAGCAAATTATTTTAAACTCTAGCTATCCAGCTCTAAACGTTCCTTGACATTTATCGATCATAGTTTACCTTTATTAATATTCCTGTTCACCAGTCCTTCAACATTTCTAAGATCGGTTCCGTTAAAAGGAAAGCATTCGCTTAACATTAGTTGCGAAAACACAACAAAAACGGCAACAAAACGACTTCTTTCAAAATATTTCGACGCCATGCTGAAATATAAACTTCATTCGAGTCACTTTTGCCGATTTATTCTGAATTTGACCGCGCGCAAAGCATGAGTGGACTGGAGCTAGTAATTTCATCCAATCAGATCACGCAACGTTTTGTTCAAAATATGAAGTTCCTTCAGCATTCTTATATATTTTTGTGAAAAAATAATACCCAAACAAAACTTTAGTATGTTTGCTGTTATTTTGTGCAATTTTCTAAATTTTGGCGTGCTTTAATGTCGGAAAATATTTTTAGGAAAATGACTTGCAAATACCCGGTGCATGCCACGTCGACTTGTCATGTGCCAGCTGCTGCAAGCATGAATGCACATCATTAATTATAGATATGTTGATAAATTCCGAACAGAACACACGAAACTGAATGAACTGTTCACTGATGGGAATTCGTATGTTGTCTACACAAGTAAAAACGCACAAGTTGTTACAGGTCTGCAAACAAGTTGTTACAAATCTGTTCACAAGCTGTCAACAAGTTGTGTTCGCATTGCTTGTTCCCAGTTGTTGTAACAAGTTTGGAAAAAGCTGTTAACAACCTGTAACAAGCTTGATGGCATCATCAGACTTGTAGCAAAGACCAAAGTTGTTCTAACAAGTCTGATACAGTCATGAGATAACAAGAATGTTACAAGGTTGACGACACAAGGTTGTAACAATACTGTTATATCATGACTGTATCGGACGTGTTGGAACAACGTGACAACAAGTCTGATAATATCAACAAGATTGTTACAAGTTGTTAACAGTTTGTTCCAAACTTGTTGACAACTTGGAACAAACAGTGCGAAAACAACTTGTTGACAGACTTGCTACAAGATGTGAGACTTTGATCCAACCGTCCTAAAACTGAGCGCAGTCTCGGGTCTACAAAGCGCATACCGTTTCCCTCGGTCCCTAACAAGTGTAAGAGGGTAAACACATACCTAACAGTTCACAAGTCTGATAATGATATCAAGCTTGTTACAAGTTGTGAACAGGTTATTCCAAACTTGTTATAACAACTGGTAACAAGCAGTGCGAACACAACTTGTTGACAACTTGTGAACAGATTTGTAACAACTTGTGCGTTTTTACGTGTGTAGTGGGTATGAACTGTCTTTGTTTTTAAAATTACGTTCGCCCATAAATTTACAATTTTTTTGCTCTAATATCAGTTGAATAAAATCTGATACCCGTAGTATGATGGCTAGTATAAGCAATCGTGGTTTGTGTGTGAACCACTTGAACATTTTGAAGTGAAAAACCTCTGCAGGTTCGAGAGGGTAAGACAAAGGGCATTTTGTAAAAACGTAGAAGGGGGTTTCAGTCCGCTTATTTCCCGAGCAAAAAATTGTCTGAATCCAATCAACCCACCATTCCCAGTAGTCTAAATTCCATTTTCCTAGTGGAAAAAATCAGCAAATGCCAGCTCTCGTTTTACCCCCCTTTTCTGACATCATATAGTGAAAACAGGCAGCTACGTCGAAGTTCAAAACGTCGAAGTTCTGCTTATATTGAATTGAATGATTTGTCACAGGAAACCATACATACATATATCTACATACACACAAGTGACGAGAAGCCCAAATATAGAAACCAAACGGCTTATTAATGCTTTGGGCTCCTCTCGCATATTAAGTTGATTTAAATAATAAGTAGTTATACCGGTGAGGGTGGTATTCGTCGTGTTATAGTAAAGCAAAGATAAAGTAAACTAATTGAAATTTATAACTTATTACTTATTTTTATTTCTCAAGGATTTATACAAAAGGTTAATTTAATTTAATTTGCAAATTAAATTAAATTAACCTTTTGTATAAATCCTTGAGAAATAAAAATAAGTAATAAGTTATGAACAACAAAGGTGAAAGTTTTAGAAACAAGATTAATTGAAATTTAATTGAAAAGAACTAAATATACAGAGATAGAAATATGCTGCCTATATATGACGTCAAATAGTATGTATACGTGTAAATAAGTAAAGATCGAGTTGATGCTGAACTAAGAGCATTGTAAAGTAATGGGCCTTGATCAGCCTCGTACCCAGGCGCAAATAATTAAAATAGGCACACTACAGTGTTTTTGTATAGATCAGTCCTCCCCAAGAACCCCCGCGCGCACAACTTAGCCACTGATCTATATAAAAGCACTGTAGTGTGCCTATTTTTAGTTATTTGCGCCTGGGTACGAGGCAGGGCCTTGATAGTTAATAGAAAATTGGCGCAATCTAGTTCTACATGTGGGTACATAAAATTCTCCAGCCCTTCGTGTGCTATATACATGTATAACCATTCTGAAAACTTTTCCAATTCAGTATTTATCGTGTTTGTCAAAACATGCAAATCATTATGTGAGAAGAATACATTTGTATCATCTGTGAATAAAATCAATTCCAAAGTGTCTGAAACATTACATATATCATTGATATATACTAAAAAAAATAATGGCCCTAGAATTGATCCTTGAGGAACACTGCATCGTATAACATTTTTTGGGAACAAGAACCGTTGTATTCTACATACTGTTGTCTGTTTGTGAAATAACTTTTTATCCATTCAAGAACCAAACCACGAACCCCATAATGCTCCAGTTTGTCCAATAAAATGCAATGGTTTACTGTGTCAAAGGCATATATAACTAGATAGTGCATCTAATTATTCTGCAATGCATATATAACTAGATAGTGCATCTAATTATTCTGCAATTCAAAAATTGAAGCCGTGATTGCAGACTCAGGATATTCCCATGAAATGAGAAGACTCGTATGTTTTCTATTTCTAAAAACAAAGAACTTAAACATTAAGTTAAACCTATTCCAAATACATTTTCAAACTATTCAAATGATGAAAGTTATTGTTGTTTTTAAGCGTTTATTAGCGAGTGGGAAACTCCACATGGCCGCCATCTATTCAAATGGGGGTAACCGCTGGAATATTCTTGGCTTCAATTTTACTAAAAGAGATGCGCTATCTAGTGTATACAGCTGTTTCAATGAAGGTTGTCCCGAGCAAAGCGGAAAAGTCGAATACGAGCGCGAAAGAATGCTGGGAATCGCTAATAAATTCATTAATGTTTTAGCGATTCCCAGCAGCCTTTCCCGCTCGTATTCGACTTTTCCTCTTTACTCGTGGACAACCTTAATTGAAATAGCTGTATAAGATATCTATGGTCAAAGGCTTTGGAAAGATCAAGGAAAATACCGACAGTAAATTTTCTTTGGTCTATCGCGGCAGTAATTTTATCATATATCAGATGATGGAGAGACAGAGACGTAGAATGGCCTTTCCTAAAACCAAATTGATTTTGAAATAGAATACCGGACTTATTAAAGTAATCAAATAATCGATTGTATACACATATTTTTTAGGTAGTTGTTTGTCATCGTCTCTACCTAGTGAAAACAGGCTGGCTCACGACCCTCTCGAAGACAAAATGTTGTATATAAAATCTCTTTTTCTTCTCTTTTTATGTTTGAGGTATCATTGCAAACCACATCCTGGTGGAAAGGTTCCCTGAAGAAGCTAGGACAGTGAATTACACTTTGCAATACAAATGGGGAGCAAATTATTGATCGAAGGTGTTGAGAAATTATTTAAAGTCAACGCTCCCCTTACCCTCTATATATAGTGTCCAGCTCCTCCAATGAATACGTACACCAGAACAACTATCGTATGTGGCAATTGTATAAAAAATAGTTCACAACAAATTCTGAACATTTTGTTTCGCAAAAGGTACTATTACATCACAAACGTTTTCTTACTTTTCAACTTCTCTATGTCTGGCCATTGCCAGAATTTGTTATAATTGAGATATTTACTACAAGTAATTTACATTACAGGCAACTGCTAATTCCTGGTATTCCAACATTTGGCAAACGTGTGGCTAGGGAACAATGTTTCCTGGTTTTCCCACCTTTGGGAAGCATGGTTTACGAAACAATGTTTTCACAAAAAAATGTATCCTGCTTTGTCCACCTTTGGGAAGTACGGCTAGAAAACAATGTTTCCTGGTTTGTCCAGCTTCGGGAACCGACATTCGCTGGGAAACAACGTTTTCTGCTTTGCTCAGCTTTGGGAAACCAATTTTTCCTGCTTTACCCAGCTTTGGGAGACATGTCCAGAAAACAATGTTTCCTGGTTTGTCCAGCTTTGAGAAACATGGCTAGGAAACACTGTTTCATGTTTTCCAGCCTTGGGATTTGATGTTTCCTAATTTGCTCACCTTTGGGAAACATCACTAGGAAACAATGCTTTCTTGTTTACCCCGCTTTGGAAAACATCACTAGGAAACAATGTTTTCTGGTTACAATGTTTCCTGGTTTGTCCACCTTTGGAAAGCACGGCCAGGGAACAATGTTCGCTAGTTTGTCCACCTTTAGGAAACAGGGCTACGAATCAATGTTGCTAGGAAACAATATTTGCTACTTTGTCCACTAGCGGGAAACTAGGAAACAATTTCCCCCCTACAATCTTCTCTAGTTTTGCTATGGATAAAATATATGCTACATACATCATACACCATCCAAAATTGTGGTTTTCTCATATATCTATGGGTTTTCTACCACATCTAAAACGGGTCACGTATTTCATCAAGCATCCACGGTAATTTGACGGTATTTAGCCTCGCTTGTGACACGCTTTGTAAGACGTCTATAAATTAGTCCAGCGATAAAAATGATGGCGAGAGCACAAGAGAAACCTATAAAGAAATACTTTCCGCGTGGACAACTACTCACGACCGAGGCAAGATCAGTCAGATGCTCGGGAACTGGGACCTAAAGAAAAAAAAACACAAACATCAGTTATGATAATTTTGAAGAGTTTTGTTGATGGAAATTTCAAGTGTGAATTTTTTACATTTACTGCGGATTTCGATTTCAGCGCTTTAATTTCCGGTAATCGTTTTCCCGTTGAAACATACACGTTTCTAACGGTCAATGTCAATGTTATTAAGTGAAGTCTAGTGGTCTTTGTCCGCTGTTTTTTTGTCCGTTGTTTATCATTTGTGTAAATGTAACTGTTATATTCGTGTTTATCTCGTCTTTGGCAACATTTTGATATATAATTTACAAAGCTTTGTGGATCATTTCATGTTTTTATTGATATTTTGGAAATTGTAGCGTATAAAAGGCTTCAAAATTATTTACTGGCCTTTTATACGCTACAATTTCCAAAATATCAATAAAAACATGAAATAATCCACAAAGCTTCGTAAATTATATATCAAAATGTTGCCAATGACGAGATAAATACGAATATAACAGTTACATTCACAAATGATAAACAACGGAGAAGAAAAAAACGGACAAAGACCACTAGACTTCACTTAGTAACATTGACATTGGCCCTTAGCAACTTGTTCGTTTTAACGGAAAAACAATCACTGGAAACGGAAGCCCTGAAACGGTAAATCGAAATCCGCAGTATAAGACCAGGCAAGCAGTTGACAAATATGAAACTATAGACCCTCTGCCTGGCAGAAATCGAAGCTGCGATCCTGCGGTTCCAGTGCAGCGGTCAAACTAACTTGGGCCGGTTGTTCAAAGCTGGGTTAGCTTAACCCTGGGTTAACTTAATATTCAAAGCAAACTTCCCAAGAGCTTGTTTATAAATTTGGAAATATTTCTTCCGAGATCTTGTCTGAATCAGTAAAAGTTTTCTTCTCTGAAGTTTTGAAATACACAGACGGGCAGAAATAGATAAACTAAAACAACAGATTAAATTTTAACCGCGGGTTAGCGTTAACCCAGCTTTGAACAACTCGGCCCAGAGCTACAGAGTTCAGTTGTCGAGCTCTAATCACAAGTTCATGCATACAGGGTTCGTAGTCTCCAAGACCAAAAAATTTCAAAGATTTTTTCTGCCTATTGTCAAAGACTTTTCCAAGACCTTTGCGAGCAATCAGGTGTCGAAAAATTGCGATGTATAAGCACCATTTTACCAGGTAATTAGTCCCGTCAAATCACATCCTAAAATGCACTTTTTCGTCAAATTTTGCTTCAATCAATCTATTTTATTAGTTAGAAAATCGTATAATCAAATAATCACTAAAGAATTTAAAGACTTTTAAAGACTTTCTTCGCTTTTCCACACACTTCAAAGACTTTTCAAAGACCTTAAAGACCTGCATTCAAATTAAAAGACTTTCAAGGATTTCAAAGACCGCTACGAACCTAAGCTACGATACTAAGGTGCATGTATACTAAGATTGAATAAATTTACAATATATTACCCCAAAACCTGTCCAGATTTGTTTCCTTGAATTCAGAATATTACGACATTCTCTTTCCACTATTTGACCTTTCTCCAATATGCCCATTAGGCATTGTAAAACTATAAGAAAAAACACACTGGGTTATTGACTAATCTTTATGTCGAACAGACGTGTATAGCTCCTATACAATACAATTTCCCAAAGTTTTTCGTATCCCAAAATGACGTCACAAGGATTAGAGTTAGGATTAGTATTAGGGATCAGGATTTGGGATTAAAGTCTGGTTTACACTATCAACGTTTCTGTGATCACAGTAGGCATTTTGCATATAGGTAAATTCTAAGTTTTGAAGGATTTGTAAGAAATGTTTGAGGGAGCTGACTTCACTGAAAACCTACTTCTTCCCCGACCATGACTCACACCATCGCAATGTTTTGTCACTGATCTTGAGCAAGCGTCATGCAGTACAGGATCGGCCATAATATCAGTACGCTCTTCAAAAAGTACTTCTTTGAATTCCTGTATTGCAAAAAAACCATGCATGAGAAACATAGTCACACAAAATCCAGACAATAGACTTTTCTTAAGCTGGATTTCCCCTTGCAAGAATATTTTCCGCTCAATTTCTTTTGAATAGACCTTTCCCCTTATAACCAAAATTTTGATCTAGGCAAATCAAGACAAATATTTCATCACAGCTTGAAAGAGCATTACCAAATTAGTAATATTCCAAAGTTTCGTTGCGAAATGTTGTAAAATGAGGAAAATAGAGCCTTGCAAAGTTTGCAATTTTCAGTCATTTTGCATTACAAACGGGAAATTGCAGCCCCAACACCCGAATCGGATGTCAATTTCCCGTTTGTAATACAAAATGACTGAAAAACGGCAAACTTCGCAAGGCTATATTATCCGCATTTTACAAGATTTTGCAACAAAACTTTGGAATATTACTAATTTTGTGATGCTCTTTTAAGCTGTGATGAAATTTTTGTCTAGATCGAAATTTTAGTTATAAGGGGAAAGGTCCATTGTGAGTGGTCAAGTAGAATTGATTTATAATACCTTTTGTTTGTGGAAACACCACGTAAATGTATTACTGCAAAGCTTTCGATCCGTATATAGCTTTGCAGTAATAAATTTACGTGGTCTTTCCACAAAAAGAAGGTATTATATGTTTTATCGCCATGCAATCATACAAAGAACTTATTATAGAACTCATTTACTCACAATTCAAAAGAAACCAAGCGAAATATTTCTCTGTAAGTGAAAATCTTCCCTTACGCTCTTTGTCAGGATGTTAGCAGAGATAATACTCCTTACGGACAGTACTTACAGCTCGACATTTGGCGTTGTCAATTTTTTTGTAGTGTTCTTTTAAGCATTCCATCACTTCGCCATGTCCAGGATGAACATCAGGACAAAGTGTATCAATCTAAAAAACCGAGTTTAGAACTGATAGACCTATCCAGTATAAATAAATAACTAAATAAAAACTAAATAAATAAACACAGTTTAGTTTAGGTTTCCTCTTGTTGGAAACACTGGACCAATAGACGATGGCTGAGGCTCTCACTGTTCGTCTGGAACATAGTTAAATTTAGGTTTCTTCCTGTAGTAACCCTGGTTTAATAAGTGGTAGCTCTTGCTTGGCCTCTAGAACGAACATTTTAGGACTGATTCAGAATAAATAAAGTTAGTCAAGTTTAGGTTTCCTGCTGTAGTAATGCTGGCCTAGAAGGGATGACTGTTACTGGACAGTTTAGAACTGATAGAGCTATCCAGTAGAAAGAAAGTTTGTTTAGTACGAAATGAAAGGTACCTCGTCGCTACATTCTTTGGCGAGTGATGGGTTTAAACGATAATCTAATGCTGCTTCTTTCACCAAATCCACAATAAATTCTTGACAGTCTCCAGAGAGTTCCTATGCAAAATAATATCATAAGTTAACGGCATATCAGGTTTCGTTACTCCGGTTAAAGTAAATAAACGCAAAGTATTACAAATCCTCTCTAAATCACCCCAGATGAAAACACTAGAGTGATGCAGTGAAAATGGTGGTAGTGCAAATTTCCTTCTCAAATGCAAACCTACCACCCTTATCACCAGCTAGGCTCTTCGACACTGCTTCACTTATTAACTCCCCCTCTAGAGATTATGCACTTGGTCAAAGGTGGTGGCACCCCATACCAAATCTGGCTCGATTTATCCCTGAAGCTATGACATATCTGACGAACCTCGATGTTCTTCTTCAAACTTGGAATTATTTGGTCATTATTAGTTGCATCATAACAGAACTTGATTATATCACGACGACACGCTTTCGCTAACCCAGGCATAAGGTCCACATCTAGAATAATAAGAACGTACACGTTGGTCATATGCGGCAAATTTTCTCCCACTACAGCAGGCTCATTTCTGATGAAAAATACTTCATGTAAGACCAACAAAACAGTTTGAGCAAATTATAAGGTATGTGTGATCATAAATCATAAACGTGAGTCATAACCCTAACCCAGCAAGTTCGTACATAGATCAGGAAGAGTTAAATTCAAGGACTTTCAAGACCATCTTTCAGAAATTTCAAGGGCTAAAGGCTGAAAAGAAGGCATTAAAAATCAGTCAGAAATTATGTTAAACTGTTCAAACGGCAACTTTAATGAATTTCAAACAGCTTTGGCCCTTGTAAGACATGAACAAACTTAATTTACAAAATGTCCAATTCTCAATGCCAAACAATTTCAGGACCTTCTTTATAAACTCAAGGACTTTCAAGGCCTTAAATTTTTGTTCCCAAATTCAAGGACTTTCAAGGATTTTCAAGTTTTAATGGACGACTTACGCTTTAGAAAAATTTCTAATCTGGGAATAACAAAGGATATTTTCTGAAAGAAGTTACCAAAATTAGAAAAACTGCAAAGTTTGGTTGCGAAATGTTGTAAAATACGGAAAATATAGCCCTGCGAAGTTGGCAAATTTGTATACATTTCTATTACGTGCGGAAATTGGTAACTAATTTAGTTACCAATTCACGCACGTAATACAAAAGTATACAAATTTGCCAACTTTGAAGGGCTATATTTTCCGTATTTTACAACATTTCGCAACCAAACTTTGTAATATTACTAATTCCAAGACGCTCTTTCCAGCTGTGGTGATAGATTTCGTTGTTCTTACTTAGATTAAAATTTAGTCTAAAGCGCAAGTCGTCCATTACCTCAAACTATTATGTGTTCCTTATATGAAGTAGCAACTGAAAAATTGAAAGCATTGTTGATAATTCTGTGTCAGATGTCCGCTGACAATATGAGTGGGGCAAAAATTGCTAAATTTGACTATTGTAGTAGCATAGTATTAAGATTATTGCATGTATCTAGGTAGAATGATTATATAGTCCATACCTTTGAGAGCGTTCTTCTGTCGGGTAAACACGAGTGTACGGCATCTAATGAGACAATACAAAATCGTGAAAATTACGAGGTGAATGTTTATGTGGAGGCATCGAAAGGTATAATTCACCAATCTGATAATCAAACACTGAATATTTTAAATACAGTTTAGTTTAGGTATCTTCCTATAGTAACACTGATCTCCAGAGGATGGCTCTTACTTAAACTTTATGGAGAACGGTGTAGAAATCATAAAAAAATCTATGAAGGTTTAATAATGAAGGTTTTCTCCTTTAAAAGAGATGGTCCTTACTTAATTTATAACTAATTAGTAATATAATTATCCAGTATAAGTAAACTCATTAACGATTCTAGCTTGACTCAGGGAAGGAGGGGGGGGGGGGTACGTTCTTTGAGTTCACGGACGAGAATAGAGACTGATACATACTCATCTTCTTTCACCATTTCACGTTTATGCTTTTCCAGACAATGAAGGATTTTGTCTGGTGGGACATCCATACAGAATTTCTTAAAATAAATACAAAAACTTAATTTGAGAGGGTGCCAAAACTAAAGGAGAGCCCCAATTTGGCTCCTTCCTTCTATACCTGGCTCTTGTAGTTTCCTTTCTCTGTTCGATGCCCCAAAGTGCAGGGACGCTATCAGTCAGGCCTATAGCCAGGGGGTTACCAGAATATCGATATACCTGAAAGTGCGTAATCTTGGGTAAATGTAGGATACTTTATACCCGTATTTCAATTTACTTCGACAATAAAATACACTGTGTACCAAAGTCCAAAAGTAAGATTGTCTAAAAACCAATATACCTGGTTCTTAAACAGGTATATAAATACCAATATACCTGGGGGGGGGGGGGTTAATTAAAATCAGTCAATGAACGTAAGAAAAAGGACGTCAAAGCTAGGACTAAGCATGTGATGGAAACAGAGCTATATAGACCGTGGAAAAGCAGAATTTTGAGGCATTTATACTCGATATAATTAATTGTAGAAGGGTTTGGAATAGCAGTCCTGGGATAATCGTCGACAAGTGTATAATGATTATGCACTGTACCTTGATCATTGGTTTACACATTTTGAACAGTCGGACATCCAGTTCAGCATCGCCCACTTCTTCTTTCTAAATAACATATTCACAAACGTTTTACTCATCAATAGACTGGACACGAGATTTAGATTCCTTCGCAGGCATCTCCTAATTTCTCCCTTGCGGGCCTGCAGCAAGCGGGCAAAAAATGATTGCAGGCAGAAACCGAAGATCATATTCAAGGTAATCATAGATTATGATCAAGTAATATCATAGGCAGCCCAATGTTATGGTTGCCTGCCTGCCTGCGCGCGGGCGAGGCATTGTATAGTTGTATTATTTCCAAAATAATTGAATTAAAAAAAACATTGTATTATTGCAAAACAGCTTCTGCACAGGGTTTTTCCAGCATCTCTTGGTTTAAACAGCTACAATCAAGCAAAGATATCTAACACTGTTTGACACACACTTCGACATCGATATGCGGCCCAGGGTTTTTTCAGGAATTTTTTAGGGCCGTTAAACGGCCCCAAAAACTCAATCTTGAATTGAGTTTTGAAACTCAATCTTCTCACCAAAGTTTCAATGCAGTAAAAATGAGGTTGTTTGAGTTAAATTCGTGACGTGTGGAAATTAGTTTTCAGTTGGAAACCCGACAGTTATAAGAAAAAATGGCTGGAACTCATCTCACAACACAAGAAAAACTATGCAATCGCCATCTTTAACCAGTCTATAGTGTCCCTCAGTGCCCCTGCTTTAACACATTCTGTCTCAACTACATTTATTGAGTACAAGTGTCAGTCCCCCGGTAGGGGGGGGGGGGATGCTGCCACCCCAGTTGTTCAGCTAAACTCAATATTCTCTGCAAAAACGGACCCAAGAGAAAATCCTGAAGAAAAACCTGTATGCCGTGCACATGGACACTGTCTCATGACCGTCTCTGACATTGAACTAGGCATATAGTTATATTTACTTTTATATCATAATTTTTAGATTTGTTACTACATATAGTTTATCTTAACGGGAAGGCGCCTCGCACGGGTTAACATTGGTTAATGTTTCATGATTTTTTTCATGATTAACGTGCTTTCCCGATTGGTTAATGTTTCATGATTTTGTATTTGTACATTTAATATTTAACCAATAAATTTTTCAAAAAAAATTAACCCGGCAGCAAGAACTACTATAAGGGACTGGGCACTGGACGTCAATTTCTGCCATCTTTTGCTTCACTTTCCGCACGTGATGTCTTACGCCAGATATACATATAGAGGTCACTGGTCTATACCTCTCTCTCAAAGATCATCTTGGAACAGCCATCGGACAAATCACCTTCAGATTTTTTTAGACATTCCAACACCTAAAAGGAAAAAAGGTTATAAAGTTACCATATTATGACTCTGGGCTGGTTGTTCAAGCACAATTAGCGATAACTGTCGCAGGCAGTCGTGATAAATAAAAAATTGTTTTGTTGCGACAATCGTAGACATTCTGCATGACAATAAAACAAATCATCTAACCGCTTAGAATTCTCACCGAATCATGAAAATAACGAACATCGCGTAAAATAAGGACAATCGCCTGCCCACGATGCTTGCCGACGATCGCAGAGTAGAAATCGCGATTGTCCCCAAAAGCAATGAAAACCAACCTTTACATAGATCGCCTATTGCGCAACTATAGTCACGTATAATCACGGAGAACAGCTAAGGTGAAAGGATTACAAGTTTTGGTGAGGGAAGAAAACCGGAATACCCGGATAAAAACTTCAAAGCACAAGAGAAAACCAACAACAAAATGAACAAATCGACTTACATGAGTTTTCAAGTACGTCAAGCCAGAGCCCCTGCTCTGTACTGTATCAATCCCCCTACCATCGACTTTGAATAGCAGACTTAACTCAGCGTTAAGGTGCAGCATGCGCTAACCATATCTCGGTGCGTGCTCCTCGATGTAGTCATGGTGTGTTTGCTGCTAACCAGGAATATTTGGTTTTAGTATTTTTGCACAAGTGAACATAACAAATCCTACAAGTTGATTGGTCAAATTTGACGTATTAAGCTGTTATATTCACCTACAGCGGCTAGCCGTTTTGTGGACGTTATACTGATAAAGAAATAAGCGAAATTAAAATAAATTCAGTCCCAAAAAACACAAAAATACTAAAACAATTATTCGCCTCAGGCTCGGTGATTATCGGGGAATATTCACCTCGACTTCGTCTCGGCGAATATTACCCGATAATCACCTCGCCTTCGGCGAATAATTGTTATAAGTATAAAGGCCCGTTTACACTTACAAATTTTTACTGCGTTTTTAGGCGCGACTTTCTTCTCCTGATGGATGTGAACGAGTAGATAAGTTATGGATGTTCTGAGTATGTGTATCCTCATTTGAACATTCATAACTCATCCACTCGTTCACATCCATCAGAAGAAGATCGCATCTAAAATCGCAGTAAAAATTAAAGGTTATTCACAACACACTTACCGCAGCCGGACCATCTTTATGCACGTGAAGACAGAGTTTTTCCACATCTTTTGAACAGGCATCATATAACTTTGGATCAAACTGTATATCTTCAGCCTATACATGAGTTGAAAAACATCACTATAACTTACTCCTGTCAATATCTAGTTGACCACAACATGTGTTGGCCTGCGACGTTTGCTGAAAGCTACCAATAGAGACCTTGAGCTACGGATACACGGGCAATACTTTTCTGGCGATGGCGACGCAATGGTGGTAAAATCGTTGCATTGCCGTCGTGAGAAAGAAATTGCTTGTGTATCGTGCTCTGCGACGGCAACGCAAAGCTGCGCGCAATCGTTGCCGAAATTTCAAATAATTTGATTTTCGGCAATGATTGCCGAAAATTGGGAGGTGTGGTCAAGGAAGGTCAAGGTTGATGAATGACACGTTTCTTGACCAGCCAATGAAAAGCGTTATGAAGACATATATTGCAGGTGAAATATTACAGGTGTAGCCACCTTGTGCGACGGCAACGCAATGCTGTTATCACCCATTGCGTAACCATCGCAGCAAAAATATTGCTCATGTATCCGCGAAGCTTTACGATTTAGGACGGCAATGCGATGGCAACGGCTACCAATACAATAAATCATTGAAAAGAATTGAATAATTACAATATATGAATAATTTAGACATTATCCTCGCTCCATTTCCAACGCCAAATCATAGATTTTCAGGTCTTGTTACAACGGCTGCATTTGGAGCCGCAACAAGTGTAACTTCAAACTGGGTTCAGGAGAACTTTTCCCAACCATAAAACCCTTATCTTCAACTTCTAAGACTGTATTAAATTCATACGATTGATAATATACGACGAATTATCTTTACTACCATTTATTTGAAGGAGTTTGTTTTGGTCGTCGTCGTCGCGTTGCCGTCCTAAAATCGTCTAATAGCCCACCGAGCAACCCAACCCGAGTTACAAAGGCTAGCATATACTGGGCCTCATACCTGACGAATTTTTTCAACATGTAATTGAGCCCGACATTCCTCCGAGATTTTATGATCTTTCTCACCAAAAATAGCTTTACGAACCTCCCCACTCAAACACTCAATAACTTCAGGCCTGAAATGGATAAAACACAATGTCAGGGCTCGAAGCAGAGAAAAAAATATGGCCTGCCAGTAGGCTGTTGCGGTAATTGAAAAAAACCGAAAACCGATACCGGAAAAAAATACCGATAATACCGATATATCGGTATTTTTTCGCGATTGCATTTTGCTTAATTTTATGCAAAATTTGCTTAATTAATGCAAAATTTTCTGTTTTCAAATGATGCCAAACAGCCACGATATAACAGCTTTGACTCATCGCGTGCGCGATATTTTCAATGAAGTGTGAGGTCAGTGATCAGTAGCCTGTGAAATGTCCGCTTTAGAAATTGAAAATGCATAACATTGATTACCGCACTGGATAAACCATGTGTGATATTTCTGACCGGGAAATTTGTTTCAAAACATGTTATTCAACTGCGAATTTGAAACAAAGATTGTCCTATCTCACCATGCAGATAAACAATATCCAATAAGGTTAGTCAGTTTTGCTTTTTCTAAAACTGTAATCCACCATTGTTTACGTTCTAAAAGTTCACTTTTTGACAAGCGAAATAAACTGTAACATATTATGCACCTTGCAACACCAACGTAAAAAACAAAGTGACGTGTTTGTCGTTTTAGCTCTCGCTCTAACCTTAATTTACGGATTTTAGCACATTGATCGTCTTTGTCCTTCTGAAATAACTCCAATCAGCACTTGAAAAGCTTTAATATGACGTTTAAATATACAAACGTAAACGTGATATCGATAATACCGAAAAATAACGATATTCCGATATATCGAAAATTTCAATATAGAGTAATCGGTATTTATAAAAAAACGATAATTATCGGTATATCGATATACCGCAACAGCCTACCTGCCAGTCGAAAATGTTTTGGCAGGTGAAATAAATTTTAGCCTGTCATTTTTATTAGATAGAAAAAGATAGAAAACTTTCTATTCATTGAATTGCCAAAATGGCAGTCATATTGTAAAAATCAATGTTTTCATGACATGTATTTTTATTATTTTTAAACTTACTACAGTAAACTTGGATTTACATTTCAAATATAAACGTAATTAGTCAAATGATATAGTATATATGAGTTGTGTTAAGCAAAGGAAATGAAATATATCTATTGAATTTCCCCTGCCATTTTTTTTACTTGGCAGTTCAAATTTGTTTTTGCCTACCATTTCTAAAATATGGCCTGCATGCTTTTGGCCATTGGCAGCCCGCTATTTCGAGCCCTGCACAATGTATATGAAACAAATGTTGGAAAGTTTTACAGATAGAAGTTTCGAGCGTAAATCTTATACATTTTTAAGACCTAAAGGCCATGTTACACGGCGCAATTTTTCTTGCAACTTGCAATGCAATTCTACTCTTGAGAGATGTAAAATTGCCAAATACGAGTCTTCATTACACTCCGCTGATGTTTTCTCAACATATCGAAAATTCTTCACTGATTTCACTAATTAATATCTCTCAAGAGTAGAATTGCATTGCAAGTTGCAAGAAAAATTGCACCGTACATGCAGTATAGGACCTCTGGTAGGAATTGAACTTGCGATTCCGTTTTATAGTTTTTATTATTAGCACGACAAAATTACTGAATGCTGATTGGTTGAGAGGAGCACAATTATTTCATTAATTAGCCATTCCGAAGTTGATGAGTGGACTGGGGACGAGTGTTAAAAAGTGCCCAAATTAAGAAATGAACCAAATCACTAAAAAGACCACCTCAAAATTAGTAAGTGTACAAAGTTTGAAGACGTTTACATGAATATCCTTCGAATAATAAGCTTTCGAAAATCGTGATATTTACTATGAAATGTATTGTAATTTCTTGTTTTTGGGACGCGCGTCCCAAAAACAATCTTTTAATCAGTAATTTCACAATTTTCGAAAGCTTATTAATATAATAATAATAATAATAATGTTCTTATGCGCATTTAAAAATCTCAATGCGCTTACAATGGCTTAAAACTATTTAAATTTACTGAAATAGTTTATATTTACATTATATATTAGTTAAAATTTAAACTTATATTACAGATAAAATAGATTTAGTGGAACAAAGTATTTTCGTATATAATATATTAGCTATAATGTTAGCAAGCATATGCCTCCTTAAACAAATAAGTCTTCAAAAAAGATTTAAATTCTAAAATAGACTCAGCGGATTTAATGTATTCTGGCAAAGAGTTCCAAAGTTCCGGGGCAGCATGAGAAAAAGCACGCTTTCCATATGTTGTGGTCGAAGGGTATTCATGTAAACGTCTTCAAACTTTGTATACTTACTAATTTTGAGGTGGTCTTTTCAGTGATTTGGTTCATTTCTTAATTTGGGCACTTTTTTAACACTCGTCCCCAGTCCACTCGTCAACTTCGGAATGACTAATTGTACTGCAGTACATTAATGATTTTCCCAAAACAAACGAAATAGCGGAAAGTATTTTGAACACAAATGTGAAATAAAATTGCCCCAGAAGAACTAGATGAAAATACGAACAAAAGCACCAAATTTTGCTTTAACAAAAAAACTAAATGAAAATACGAACAAAAGCACCAAATTTTGGTTGAAACTCTGGCTGGAGTGGGCATTGGCGAGAGAATATGATGTTGACATTGAGAAGCATCCACTTTTGTCATGCTAATAATAAACAAGTAATCATGCGATGTTGCTCGTACATTTAGGGATTAATAGTACTCCAATTTTGGCAAAATTTCCAAACATCACTCGCACTATTAATCCCTAATTGTACTCGCAATCGCATGATTACCTATACAAATATATTTTCATTTGTGATGCATGACGAGCAGTCTTACTAAGCTATATACTTACTTGGATTTAGCTTTTGGGCAATGAGTTTGAACGTCCGGCCTACATGCTTTCTTGAACTTTGATGAAAACTTATAATCTTTTAACTCGATCTAAAAATGAGTTGAAATATACAATTGCTGTACAAAAGATAAAACTGTAATTCAAGAGCGGTCTCGAGAGAGACTAACCTCACTGTCAAGCTAACTTCATTGGATTAGATTATAAAGTTTTTTACCGAAGTAACCGGAGAAAACTTGCGCCCTATTAAAACGCGTAAACATCTCCCAGCTTGTCAATAAGATGTGATCCCACTGCTTGTTCCCAGTTATTGACAAGTGTGGAACAAGTTGTTATCATCTTTTAACAAGGTTGATGAGGTCAACAGATTCGCAACAAGTTGTCCCAAGTACTCCCAACAAGTCTGATATCGTCTGCGCGTAACTAGGTAAGTAAGTTGATGACAACAAGCTCGTAGCAACTTCTTGCAAACAGCCTGTATTAGTCTTGTTGGAACAACTTGTAGCAAGTCTGTTACCATCACCAACCGTGTCAAAGTGAAAACAACTTGTTCCAGACTCGCTACAACAACTGGGAGCAAACACATCCTGATATGGACTTTATAACAAACGTACTTGCAGGGAGGTGAGTCCGGGATTGGACGCACCGAGGGTGGCTGGAAGTTTCCCGAACTTACCGAGCGAAGCGAGGTGAGTTCGGGAAACTTCCAGTCACCCG